GTATAGGCCATAGAATCTTAGGAATAAAAATGGTGGTAGGATACTACTTGCCTGATCTGCTGAAGGAGCATGTGGCAAACACCCAAAATATGATTATAAGAACCCAAGGAAAATATACTCTGGGATGCTAGTGTGGGGAAAAACGTTTTAAATAACATTATTCTAACAAAGACTGGGATGGAGCTGGCGGTGGTTGCTCATGGCCAATTGTGTGTATCTCTCTCTAACTCAACATTCAGTGCTATCACACTGGGAGCTTTCAATCAACCAGGGTAGAAGCATTTACACCATGCAAACTGGCAAACACTACAAATTAGAACTCATTTTCCCTAGAGAGCTGCATCAAACTTAAAAGCTTTTGCACAGCAAAGGAAACCATCAACAAAATGAAAAGACAAACTATGGAATGGGAGAAAGTATTTGCAAATAATGCGACCAACAAGGTGTTAATATCCAAAATATACAAACGTCTCATACAACTCAATATCAAAAAAACAACCAAATCAAAAAAATGGGCAGAAGACCTAAATAGATATTTCTCCAAAGAAGACATACAGATGTCTAACAGGCATATGAAAAGATGATTAAATTGCTAATTATTAGAGAAATGCAAATCAAAACTACAATGAGGTACCACCTCACACCCATCAGAATGGCTAAGTCTGCAAATAACAAATGTTGGAGAGGATGTGGAGAAAAGGGAACCCTTGTACAGTGTTGGTAGGAATGTAAATTGGTGCAGCCACTGTGGAAAACAGTATGGAGGTTCCTCAAAAAACTAAAAATAGAGTTACCATATGATCCAGAAATTCCATTCCTGGGTATCCATCCGGAAAAAACAAAAACATTAATTTGAAAAGATATATGAACCCAATGTTCATAGCAGCATTGTTTACAATAGCCAAGACACAGAAGCAACCCAAGTGCCCATCAACAGATAATTGGCTTAAGATGTGGTGTGTATATATATATATATATATATATACACACACACACACACACACACACAACAGAATATTACTAAGCCATAAAAAAGAGTGAAATGTGCCACTTGAAGCATTATGGATGGACCTAGAGAATATTATACTTAGTGAAGTAAGTCAGACGGAGAAAGACAAATACCATATGATATCACTTATATGTGGAATCTAAAAATAATACAAATAAATCTGTATACAAAACAGAAACAGATTCACAGACATAGAAAACAAACTTAGGGTTACCAAAGGGGAGAGGGAGGGAGGGACAAATTAGGAGTATGGGACTAATAGATACAAACTACTATATATAAAATAGATACGCAACAAGGATTTGCTTATATAGCAAATTAGGAAATTTGCTATAGCATAGGAAATTATAGTCAACATTTTATATTAACCTATAATGGACTATAATAAAAAATAACTGAATCACTTTGCTGTACACCTGAAACTAACACAGTATTGTAAATCAATTATACTTCAATTAAAAAAAAAAATCACTGGCTACTGGTTCTCTGAGTGGTTGGGCGTGGTAACCTCTTAAGGCAAGGACTTGCTTTTGCCCAAAGGCAGTTCTCCGGAGGAGGGGGCTTCAGTGAACCTTTAGCAGCCAAGGCTCCCAGCAGCAAGCAGGTTTATAGGATCTGGGAAGGACACCAATAGCATTTGCACCAATGTGTCTCCAACTTCCTGTAAACGGTACTTAAACCTAGGTGCTTGATCCAGATCAGGTTCTATCTTTGGTACGACTACGTATAAGAGAGTGCTACGTGCTTCCTCCTGCACCACATCACAGGCCACCTTGTATCTGCTTATCTTACAAAAACTTAATGCACAACTCCGGTACTATTAAATATTTCTGCCAGAAGCCTATTTAATTATATTGTGAGATAAGTTGGTTTAACAAAGAGTTTGAGAGTGTGGTTTCACTTAATTTAATAGTGAAACCCAGCAGGACCCTGTGGGGCTCCTGGGAACAGAAGCCTTCCATTTCTTATTTGTAGGTCAAGGGATGTACATAACAATATCTTGAGCTCTTCTGCAGAACTAAAACCCCCAACAAGTGGAAGACACTAACTACTTAATGAAGCATTCCTCAGAGAAGATCAGGAGACCACCCGAAGCCAGATTAAAGGAATCATGGAGCTCATCAGGAGATCACCTGAGGCCAGATTAAAAGAATGAAGGCCCTGTACACACTCTGTTCCTTATCAGCAACCCCACCCTTGAGCCATTGCTATAAAACTCCTCATCAAATTCCCCCAGGTTGGGGGACACAGTTTTTCAGGGCATGAGCCTGCTGTGGCCCCCTTTGCCTGGCAAAGCAATAAAGCCATTCTTTTCTATTTCACCCAAAACTCTGTCTCTGAGATTCAATTTGACACCAGCACATCAGTAGGGTATATGTTTTTATGTATATTTTATACCTCATTATAATCCATATGAACGTATAGTACTTGTGTGAGAAAATCTGTTTTCTAACAACAAAGCTGGAAAAGTGTGTGCATTCTTTCAGTTTCTTCCAGATGACTGGGAAGGAAAAATCTAACTGGCTTAAATAAAAAAAAATCATTAAGTCCCTCACTTAACTGGAGAGTCCAAGACAAAGTCTCCAGTGCAGTTGGATCCAAGATCTCAAACATGTCAGAAGTCATTTGTACTGCCCCCATATTATGTTTCCTCTTCCTGAGGCTGCATTGTCAACCAGAATCATGGCATTCGGGGGACTTTCAACATTATCAGGTTTACATCTTATTCTCCCTTCGATCCCAGCCGATTGGGTGTCATTCTTCCCAGAAGTCTAGTAGGAACTGAGTTTTGTTGCTTGTGGTAATTTGCATCTCATAGGATGGGATTATCAAAACAGCCTCACAAGAAGCTCTTATCCAAGATCTAAAGCTGCATTAACAATTTCAAGGATAAGGAAAACCATGAGTCACGAGCAAAGCAGGGAGAGATTCAGGAGCACCAACGTCTCACCCATGTCCCTTCTTGCCACCTTAGGACCTTCTCTGACCAACATTTAGCAGGCGAGGTCTCTAAATGATGCCTACACTCATACAACTTACGCGGACAGGGGGTTTCATCATGAAATGTCTATTTTATATTCCAATATTTATGCAGCCTCCATGACACGTTTATATGCCCCATAGACTCACAGATTACCAGCTTTAGAATAAGCAATTCTAGATAGATTGAGAGTCCAGATAAAAATATTCTGTGGATAAGGAATCTCCTAGAAAAAAAAAATTAGTGGTTTTCCAGGACGTTTACAAAGATTTGACCAGCTCACTACCTTTTTTTTCCAGAGGTGTTTCCCCATGAAATAAAGAGAATGCTTTGCAGACCTGCTTATAACCACTTCCTTCCCACTAACATGTAACTGAGCCCATTGGTATGACCAGGAGCTAAGATGACCTGGTTGATCAGGACTAGATTCTTGACTTGAACTGAATCAGCTCAACCTAAACACATGGAATGAGAGAAAGCGGGGTGCTGGTACCAGAAAGAGGGCAATGCATGCTAAGGAGGCAAGAAGAAAAGGTGTCCCCCACCATGTCCTGACAAGGGTCCAGGGAGGTCTCAGTACACAGACAGATTTTCTAAGAAATCTTCTCTTTCGTCATGAGGATTTGCAAAAGAGCAGGCTCTCAAAGCTCAAGGATCTAAACTCACAGTTTAGAAAAGAGGTGTGAAACCCACGCTATTGATTTAATCAGTGGATGCCATGATCACAATCTCTCTCCGGCATCTCATTTACTGTAGGTTGGTCTCATGCTATGATGAGGCTGTATGGAGTCTGGTCCCAGTGGATCCAGCATACTGTAAGCCCTCAGACCAGCGTACCATAAGCTAGAGATGCTCCCTGGGGTTCTCACAGTAAAATAAAAAAAAAAAAAAAAAAAAGCAAAGCCACACCTAGAAGAGGTGTCATTTGTGAGTATATACCACCAGACCTTCTAGGGTTGGGAGGGCCCAATGTAACAAGCTTACCACCACCTAGCTAGCTGGTTTCCTTGAGAAATGGTGTCATACTGCGGGGGCGGGGGGGGTGGCAGTGGTCAGTGTCAGTCTCCATTGTTGGCAGGTTGGACAGTCAGTGGCTGCGATTGCTAGACCAGCCTTGGGAAGTGGAAGCCTGTGCTGTTGAATCCATTCATAGATTCTACCTCTGTCACTGCAGCCACTTCGTTCATGTGCTCATCTTGCCTGCACTGGAGCGGCCAACACCATGGGGGACCTGAACCATTTTTTCTACTTCATTGTTAAGTGATGGATATTTTCTGGAGATTTAACATGCAGTTAAAACTCCTTTATGTCCACCAACATACCGCAACCCCAGACCTGCTTGTCCTCGATTTTCCAATCTTTCTCTTGTTAGGCCTCTGCCCAGATGACCAGGCCATATAACCCGGCTCAGGAGTCCATATATATGCTAACTTCAGACCACTTCTTCACAAAGTGAATGACTAAGTGAACCAACGTATATAGCCCAAGAGATAGAGCTGCTTGGACCCTAGCCTGGATCTTCTACAGAACTCATTCCTGCTCTGGGCTCCACTCAAAACAGGCAACTTCTCATGTCACCCAATGTCTGTACTTGGACAGTATTCCCATGGGTGTAATAAGCTCTCTCCAGAGCCCGAAGAGATCGATGAATCATTATACTTCCTTCTTTGCGATGGGATGTGAAAGATGGAACAATTTCATATTTTAGATGGTGTGGTGCCCATGGAAAAGGACCCACTGCAGGAAGCATGACTGAAAGCCCCAGATACTGCCTATTTGGGCCCCCAAGTACCACGTTCAGACTGAGGCCATGCTTTCCACCAGCTGCTCCCAGCCAGCAACAGAGCTCAGTGAGATACTAGTGCTCCCCCGCCCCTATTCCTGCCCAATAGGAGAGTCCCCAGTTGGGACACACCTGCTTGGAGATTCCCCCATGGGCCTAGCCTGCAGTCTTAGGCTCTTCCCACCCCATCCTCCCTCCTCCCCTCTCTCCTTTCATACGTATCGTACCTGCATTGAGGACTGAAGATGCTCCTTGCTTCCTCCTGCTTCCTCTTCCTCCATCTTTCACAGGCATTTCTCCCAATAAGTCTCTTGTACATATAACCCATTTTGGCATCTGCTTCTCAGAGATCACAAATTGTCACAACTGAAATAGTCTGGCATGTCCCTGACTACTAGCCCCCCTTTCATAGGGGTCTGTGATTGATGTGGAGAATGTATGCAGTGATTATGTTCTATCCTCTGAGTGCACGTGTATCATCAAGGCCACCAAAGCACTGACCACTTCTAGCTCGTAGTAGGTCAGTGTGATGCTCTGCAGGACATCTGGACAGCCCAGATCCCTTCTGATTATGACAGAGAAATGAAATGAGATGCCCTTGAGATGAAACTGTAAACATATACTGCTGTCCAAGTGTTGGTAAACTTCAGCCCACAGGCCAATTCTGGCTTGGCATGTGGTTTTGTGGGGGTTTTTTTGAATTTTATTTTATTTATTTTTATACAGCAGGTTCTTATTAGTTATTTTATACATATTAGTGTATATGTCAATCCCAATCTCCCAATTCATCCCACCACCACCACCATCCCCCACCACTTTCCCCCCTTGGTGTCCATATGTTTGTTCTCTACATCTGTGTCTCTATTTCTGCCTTGCAAACCGGTTCATCTGTACCATTTTTCTAGGTTCCACATATATGCATTAATATACGATATTTGTTTTTCTCTTTCTGACTTACTTCAGACTGTATGACAGTCTCTAGATACATCCACGTCTCTACAAATGACCCAGTTTTGTTCCTTTTTATGGCTCAGTAATATTTCATTGTATATATGTACCACATCTTATTTATCCATTCATCTGTTGATGGGCATTTAGGTTGCTTCCATGACCTGGCTATTGTAAATAGTGCTGCAATGAACATTGGCGTGCATGTGTCTTTTTGAATTATGGTTTTCTCTGGGTATATGCCCAGTAAAGGGATTGCTGGGTCATATGGCAGTTCTATTTTTTTAGTTTTTTAAGGAACCTCCATACTGTTCTCCATAGTGTCTGTGTCAATTTACATTCCCACCAACAGTGCAAGAGGGTTCCCTTTTCTCCACACCCTCTCCAGCATTTGTTCTTTGTAGATTTTCTGATGATGCCCGTTCTAACTGGTGTGAGGTGATACCTCATTGTAGTTTTGATTTGCATTTCTCTAATAATTAGTGATTTGAGCAGCTTTTCATGTGCTTCTTGACCATCTGTATTGCTTCTTTGGAGAAATGTCTATTTAGGTCTTCTGCCCATTTTTTGATTGGGTTGTTGTTTTTTTAATATTGAGCTGCATAAGGTGCTTGTATATTTTGGAGATTAATCCTTTGTCAGTTGCTTCATTTGCAAATATTTTCTCTCATTCTGAGGGTTGTCTCTCGTCTTGTTTGTAGTTTCCTCTGCTTTGCAAAAGCTTTTAAGTTTCATTAGGTCCCAATTGTTTATTTTTGTTTTTATTTCCATTACTCTAGGAAGTGGATCAAAAAAGATGTTGCTGTGATTTATGTCAAAGGGTGTTCTTCCTATGTTTTCCTCTAAGAGTTTTATAGTGTCTGGCCTTACATTTAGGTGTTTAATCCATTTTGAGTTTATTTTTGCATATGGTGTTAGGCAGTGTTCTAATTTCATTATTTACATGTAGCTGTCCAGTTTTCCCAGCACCACTTATTGAAGATGCTGTCTTTTCTCCACTGTATACTCTTGCCTCCTTTGTCATAAATTAGGTGACCATATGTGCGTGGGTTTATCTCTGGGCTTTCTATCCTGTTGCATTGATCTATATTTCTGGTTTTGTGCCAGTACCATACTGTCTTGATTACTGTAGCTTTGTAGTATAGTCTGAAGTCCAGGAGTCTGATTCCTCCAGCTCCATTTTTCTTTCTCAAGATTGCTTTGGCTATTCGGGATCTTTTGTGTTTCCATACAAATTATGAAATTTTTTGTTCTAATTCTGTGAAAAATGCCATTGGTAATTTGATAGGGATTGCACTGAATCTGTAGATTGCTTTGGGTAGTAGAGTCATTTTCAAAATATTGATTCTTCCAATCTAAGAACATGGTATATCTCTCCATCTGTCTGTGTCATCTTTGATTTCTTTCATCAGTGTCTTATAGTTTGCTAAGTAGAGGTCTTTTATCTCCTTAGGTAGGTTTATTCCTAGGTATTTTATTCTTTTTGTTGCAATGGTGAATGGGATTGTTTCCTTAATTTCTCTTTCTGATATTTCATTGTTAGTGCAAAGGAATGCAAGAGATTTCTGTGCATTAATTTTGTATCCTGCAACTTTACCAAATTCATTGATTAAGTTTTCTGGTGGCATCTTTAGGATTCTCTATGTATAGTATCATGTTATCTGCAAACAGTGACAGTTTTACTTCTTCTTTTCCAATTTGGATTCTTCTTATTTTTTTCTTCTCTGACTGCCATGGCTAGGACTTCCAAAACTATGTTGAATAATAGTGGTGAGACTGGACATCCTTGTCTTTTTCCTGATCTTAGAGGAAATGGTTTCAGTGTTTCACCATTGAGAACAATGTTGGCTGTGGGTTTGTCATAGATGGCTTTTATTATGTTGAGGTAGGTTCCCTCTATGCCCACATTCTGGAGAGTTTTTATCATAAATCGGTGTTGAATTTTGTCAAAAGATTTTTCTGCATCTATTGAGATGATCATATGGTTTTTATTCTTCAATTTGTTCATATGGTATATCACATTGATTGATTTGCATATATTGAAGAATCCTTGCATCCCTGGGATAAATCTCACTTGATCATGGTGTATGATCCTTTTAATGTGTTGTTGGATTCTGTTTGCTAGCATTTTTCTGAGGATTTTTGCATGTATATTCATCAGTGATATTGGTCTGTAATTTTTTTTTGTAGTATCTTTGTCTGGTTTTGGTATCAGGGTGATGGTGGCCACATAGAATGAGTTTGGGAGTGTTCCTTCCTCTGCAATTTTTTGGAAGAGTTTGAGAAGGATGGGTGTTAGCTCTTCTCTAAATGCTTGATAGAATTCACCTGTGAAGCCATCTGGTCCTGGACTTTTGTTTGTTGGAAGATTTTTGATCACAGTTTCAATTTCATTACTTGTGTTGGTCAGTTCATATTTTCTATTTCTTCCTGGTTCCATCTTGGAATCTTTTACCTTTCTAAGAATTTGTCCATTTCTTCCAGGTTGTCCATTTTATTGGCATAAAGTTTCTTGTAGTAGTCTCTTATGATGCTTTGTATTTCTAAGGCATCCATTGTAACTTCTTTTTCATTTCTAATTTTATTGATTTGAGTCCTCTCCCTCTTTTTCTTGACGAGTCTGGCTAAAGGTTTATCAATTTTGTTTATCTTCTCAAAGAACCAGCTTTTAGTTTTATTGATCTTTGCTATTGTTTTCTTTGTTTCTATTTCATTTATTTCTGCACTGATCTTTATGATTTCTTTCCATCTACTAACTTTGGATTTTGTTAATTCTTCTTTCTCTAGTTCCTTTAGGTGTGGGGTTAGATTGTTTGAGATTTTTCTTGTTTCTTGAGGTAGGATTGTATTGCTATAACCTTTCCTCTTAGAACTGATTTTGCTGCATCCCATAGGTTTTGGATCGTTGTGTTTTCATTGTCATTTGTCTCTAGCCTAATGGCAGCCATTGCATGGATAGTTATGATCCCAGATCCAATCTCTAGCTAAAGAGGGTCAGTCCTTTAGAAAACAGGGCTCTGCAAAGCCACAGAAAATATATCCAATAAAGTCTCCAAATCCTTCCCCAAACAGACCTAACAAAATATTTCCTATCTTCCTAGGAAAGGATTTATTATTGATTGGTCATAGCAACAGTAACTACCAGAACAATTTTTAAATCTAGCCCAATAGATCCATGACAGTTTTGCATCAGGAACTACACACCTACAAGCCAGCCAACTGAAAAATAGTCCCCTGAAAGTCAGTCCATGAACCTCCTTCTGAAAGTCTGTCAATCACTCAACTTTTTTCAACCGCTGTGTAAGGTTCTCTCTCTGCTTATTTATGGAGACACTCCGAAGTATAGCTCTCCCTTGTTTAGCAAGCAATAAATTCAGCATTTTGGTTCAAATATTGAGTGGCAGCATCTTCCTTTGATAGGCTTTTTTCCAGAATAAATCAACACTAAAGAAAGGGAGTATGCAGACCTTCGAGGACTGTTGGGTAAAGGCTCTGAATTGGCAATGATACCCAGGGATTCTAAGTACCATTAAGGTTCTCAGGTTAGAATAGGTTTCTGGAGCCCAGCACAAAAAATGAGTCATGGTAGTACTCGTTCTCATGGTGATTTCAATTGGAATGCAAAGCAAAGCCACCATGTAGTTATTTATACAGTCCCAAATGTATAATTAAGATGGTTATTCTTAATTAAGTTGTATAACCCTTTGTTTACCTAACTAGTAGAATAAGAGCCATCCTTGCAGTAAAGGCCAAGTGGAAGCCTTTGACACTTCCTCCATCCCCCAGGCCAAGATGATAATTCAGAAGCAATATTGCATCCCAAGAGTATATGCGAAGATTAATGCCCCATCAACTGCTTAAATGCTTCAGAGGTTACAGTCCCCATCATATATCCTTTTCAATTCACCTACATGTCCCTTGAAAAACAATAGTATAGATTATGGTGAATGGTGGTGGATTACCATAAATCTAATCTAGTTGTAGGCTTAATGGCAGCTTAATCTGAGTATTAATATGGTAAATGTGATTTTATTCCAATCCTCACCAGTAGAAAAGCTAAAAAGCAAACATACCATCTTGCGGAGATTTCCGTTGACACTCCTGATCTCAATCACAATGTAATCCTGCAGAAACCTGGATTGCTTGACATTCCATGAGATATCATGCAGGACCTTGAGTGCTGGATGTTAGTTGTCAGCTCTGCATTGCAGAGTAGAAGCCATGTGTACAGCAAAGACATTCTCAGAATGACCTTTTCCCAAACCTCCTGATATGGCAGACAGACTCCAAGATAACCCCCAAGCATCTCTTCCTTCTGATATTCACACCTTTGTGAACTGCAATCCCTGTGAATGTGAGTGGGGCCTGTGACTTGCTTCTAATAGAACACAGCAAAGGTGAGAAGTTGTACTTAAGATGGTAACAACCTTCTTGCTAGAACAACCTCTCCCATCAAAAAGGCTTTCATGGGCTTCCCTGGTGGCGCAGTGGTTGAGAGTCCGCCTGCCGATGCAGGGGACACAGGTTCGTGCCCTGGTCCGGGAGGATCCCGCGTGCCGCGGAGGGGCTGGGCCCGTGAGCCATGGCCACTGAGCCTGCGCGTCTGGAGCCTGTGCTCCTCAACGGGAGAGGCCTTAACAGTGAGAGGCCCGCGTGCCGCAAAAAAAAAAAAAAAAAAAGGCTTTCATGAAGCAAGCAGCTAGGTTGTGAACTACTCTACAGAGAAGCCCAAAGGACAATCAACTAGGAATTTCTGGCCAACGGTGAGCAAGAAACTGAGGCCCTCAGTCCAACAGGCCCCA